CCGAGCACCCACGTGGCAGCTAACAACTGTCTGTAACTCCAGTTCCAGGGGATCCAATGCCCTCTTTTGTCCTCCATGGGTGCATTTACATGCATGCAGGCATAACACTCATACACATAAAATAAATAAATAAATAAGTAAAGAAAGAAAGAAAGAAAGAAAGAAAGAAAGAAAGAAAGAAAGAAAGAAAGAAAAGAAAAAGAAAGTCAGTCCTTGAGTCAGTCTAAGTTGGGATCTGGTTTTGCCACTTACTGGTTGTTAGGCCTTAAACAAGGTACCCTACTCTGTGCCTCTCTTCTTGGCACAAATAAAGTGCCATCTTCACAGGGTTATTGTGAGGATTAAATATGCTCTTAACTAAATAGTAAAGTTGGGATTATTACTTTTATTGTAATTAACACTGGCAGAATTGCTATACTATGTGTTCCAGGCACCTATCAGTTTATAAAATCATCAGAATTTAAAAAGTAATTTGAGGCTGGAGAGATGGCTCAGCAGTTAAGAGCACTGGCTACTCATGCAGGTGAGCTGGGTTCAGTTCCCAGAACCCATATCATAGCAAACAACCATCTGTAACTCCAATCCCAGGGGATCCAATGCCCTCTTCTGGCCTCCATGGGCATTGCATGCACATGGTGCAGTAACATACATGTAGGCAAAACGAAAAAATAAAAATGTTTTAAAATATGAAAAGCAGCAATTTGCTTAAGCTGGGCATGGTAGTGTACACCTTTAAACCTAGCAAAGGCAAGCAGATCTCTGTGAAACTGAGGCCAGCCTGGTCTACATAGTGAGTTCCAGGCCAGCTAGGGCTACAGGGAGACCCTGTCTCAAAGAACAAAAAATAAACAAAGCAGTAATTTGCTCTTAACAGGCACATAATAGGGGAAATCACAACTTTACAGTGGAGAAATCTGACAGATCAGGTGTAATTTGCCACTTATAAAACATAATGGGCAGGGTGTGATGGTGCCTGCCTTTAACCCCAGCACTCAAGAGGCTGAGGCAGGCAGATCCCTGTGAGTTCAAGGCCAGCCTGGCCTACATAGTCCTTTCCAGGCCAGCTGGGGCTATGGGGAGACCCTGTCTCAAAAAAGAAAGAAAAGCCGAGCGTGGGGGCGCACACCTTTAATCCCAGCACTCGGGAGGCAGAGGCAGGTAGATCTCTGTGAGTTCAAGGCCAGCCTGGTCTACATAGCAAGTTCCAGGACAGCTGGGGCTACAGGGAGACCCTGTCTCGAAAAGACAGAAAAAAAAAAGAAAGAAAGAAAGAAAAAAGAAAACTCTCTGTATTATCTTCATCATGTTGCTGTAAGTCAAACTATTTCAAAAGTTTTACAAAAGGATGGTATCTATCAACTGTAATATATAAACAATGGAGTACGACTAAGTGAACAGAATGAACTGACACATAATGATCTGGTTGAGTCCCTCAAGTATTATAAAGTTGCATATAAATGTAGGAAAGGCCACTCTCATGTGCTGCCTAGCAATATTTCAGTTAACAGATCACACACCCAGTGGTAATCCAATTAAGACTGTATCTCCTAGGAGTATAATAGCCTTCCCCATTCATATAAGCACAATCTGAAGACACTGCCTAGTGACACAATATTGTCCTATGTATGAGATTCTAGGAAAGTACAGCAATAGAGAACAGACAAGCGGTTTACCAGGGGCAGAAGATCTGGCCACAACAGGAGAAGACACTTTTTTGGATAATGGGAAAGGTCCATATCTTCATTGCACTAGTGTCTATATGACTATATAGCTGTCGAAGCCGACATTGCTGTTTTTGAATGGGGAGATGTGGGCCAGGCATGGTGGGACACTCCTTTAGTCCCAGCACTTGGGAGGCAGAGGCAGGCGGATCTCTGTGAGTTCAAGGCCAGCCTGGTCTAAATAGTGAGTTCCAGCTGGGGCTACAGGAAGACATTGTCTCAAAAAGACCAAAAGACAAAACAAAACAAAAAAAAGAATGGGGAGATGTAAGTTGTACCTTAATAAAGCTAAGTTCAAATTTCTGAATCAATATGTGTGTGGCCTTATGTATAGCATATAGATGTTTATCCCCAAAAGAAACAATGGAAGGCTAATCAAAAAGCTAATAAAATGATGACTTACAAAGAACCATGAATAGGTACAAAGAGGTACGGATGGAAACAAGCTGTCTTTGAATATAATTTGCCATGTCGTTTTGACTTTGAGCTCATATAAATGTTTATATACTCAAACTCAAACCAAGAAGAAACCTAATTGCCCTCATATGGCTTAATGTTTTGTGTGGTAATGAAAATGTTGCCTAGATCCAATTTCATTAAAATGAACTCAGACCATTAACTTGATCTTGCCAAATCATTTTTCTTCAATACTGAAGTTTCCCAGCTATATTTACTTAAGTTTTGCTCCAACAT